GCCGCTCAGGGTCATGTGCCTCTGGCCAGGGTCCTGAACCCACTCTTGCAGCAGATCTTTGATTTTTATCTTATTTTATTTGTCTACATGCTTGCTTCTGGCCAAGATTTTCTTTCTCTGGGCTTCAGCCCCTCCCTTTTTTCTTTTCCCCTTTCTGCTGAAAGGCAGTATAGCTTAGTGGTTAAAGTGTGGGCTCTGGAGCCAAACTGGATTCTGGTCCTACCTGTGCCGTGGGGTTGGCGGGATGTTGTGTGATTCTGTATAAGTGATCTCTCTGTGCCTCTGTTTCTTCATCTGTAGAATGGGGATAATAATAGTACCTACTCATGGGGTTCTTGTGAGGGTTCAATATTGCTTGCAACAATCTCTAATAGAGCAAGTGCTACCCAAGTGTGGGCTGTTTTTCTTTGGGAGGGAAGAGCAATTGGGTTGGGCCCCTGTCTGGGCCAACGTTTATTTGTAGATGAGAGTTTTAATTTATCTTTCCTTCCAGGTGGTAGACTCCCGTTCCCTCAGGACGGATGCTCTCATCGGAGAGTTCCGGGTAATGGTTTATTTTCTTTGAAAGCAGTTGGTTCTCATTTGTCCACATTAGTGGAGGCTCTGTGGGTGATGGGCAGTGTTGGTGCCCCAGAGAGCCTATCATCTTGGCCTGTGTTGGGGAAATATAATTAAAAAAAACAAAACAAAACAAGATCTTCTAACGCAGAAATCCTTTCTACCACAAAGGTAGTAGAGCAAGAAAGCGATTTTGTTGCTGAATAAGCATTGAACCAGAATATGATGTGTATCAAAGACAATCTGTTAAGAGATTGCAGAGATGGAAAGAAATCTTATACAGAGCCAAGCAGACACACCCCATTCCATCCATGTTCTCAAGATGAACAGTAACCAAGCTAGAGGTCTGGACAGCATTTCCGGCCACACATGGTTCATCCTAACTTTACCTGGTAATCGGGGCGACCATCTCTGTTTGCTAACTGACTTTATCCAAAAGAAAAAAACAGAAAATGAGCTCGCATTTTTACGATAGGAGGTAGTTTTTCAATTCAGTTAAGGTAGGCCCTTCCCTTTCCAGAGGAAGCTGACAAAAGGGTTATTTGGTTTCTAAAAAGATACATTTCAAAGAGATAGAGCAAGTACTCACATGGAAAAGTTTTCCAAGGAAAATGTTCTGGCAAGAAGAGAAGAGAGGGACAGGGGGAATTCAGTTTCTTATTTATAATTTGCCTTTGTCCTTACATCTTGGGAAGGCAGCGTGGGACCTGAGTTTAGGCAGCCTTCCTCCTAACTCTGACCATCTTGGGCCAGTGTGACACCAGCCCTCTGTGTCCTGAGCTCACCTGGGTTGGGAGCGGGGTCCAGATGTGCAGTCCAGTGGGGTCAGGTGGGGGGCAGTGGAGAGAGGGGGAGCCTGCCCTCTCCTTTATCCCAGACGGTGCAGAAGTGAACAGTCCACTGCAGAGGACTTTAAACTGTGCACAGGATGGCATTAACAGGGTGCATAAAGGAAAGGCAACTGGTAATGGAGACCTTCAAAAATGGTGTTTTAATGTCATTCTGATTGATTTTCTCATTTTTGAATCCTCAAGCATTTAGCAAATAGAAAGAAATGGCACAGGTTTATTTTGCCCTCCTCCTGCTGTCCAAATGAAATATGACCCCTTTTCTAGGAAGTAGTGACAAGATAGAAAACTGAGTCTGTTTTTCTAGAGAAGCAGTTTTTCAAAAGAATGAGCTTAAACTTGAGTCATTCTGTACCAAACGGGGTCTTCTGTTTTGAGTCTTTCATCTTTGAACCACATTCTTGTTGAGAACCCAAGGGCTAAGTTAAAAATAACCCATGATGTTAAAAAAAAACCTTTATATATATATTTAGAGCAATTTTAGGTTCATAGAAAAATTGAGTGGAAAGTGTAGAGTTCCCCCATGTCCCCTCGCCCACACATGCATAGCCTCCCCTGCCATCAACATCCAACTGATCTGTGATTTTTTTTAATAGAAAATTATAAAATATAGGAAAGTATAAAAAGAAAATAAATCTATGACCCAGAGCTAGTACAGGTACCATTTTGTGTTTCCTTTGCTCTGTCTTTTCTGTGCGTAGATACACATTACCAAACTTTGATCAAAATGTATTCCACTTTCTTTTCGGGTTATATCAGATGACAAACATTTCCCCATGTCTCCAAATGTTCTGGAGAACATGATGTTTAATGGGACGGCATAATGTATCATACTTTACTGAACACTCTGGGGGCAAGAGTGTGATCTGTGCTTCCTCTGTTTGATTGCAGATGGACGTGGGCACCATCTACAGAGAGCCCCGTGAGTCATGCTCTCATCCCCAAGCTTGGGCAGGTCCTTGCATTTGGGTTCTGCAGGCTGCATGGGGGCACCGACTGGGGACACTCATCCTTCCTTCCTGGGGGTTTTAGAATTTAGAGGCGGAGTTTGATCTTGGAGGTGAGGTGGCAATAATGAAGAGAGGGTGGGCTTTCAAGCCCCCAGGAAGATGAAATGCTCACATGGGTCTCAGTTGGCTCAGCTGGGGTGCTAAATCTGTAGGGCCTCCAGCACGGGTTGCTGGAGACTGGAATCATCCCCAGACAGGATGGGTCATTTGGACAACAAGTCTAGGATTTCTCTACACCCTGGTCCCTGAGGAGGAGGAAGATGGTCTGGGGTCTGGCTTTGGCAGCCTCTGATAGGGGTTTCTGTTAACATTTCTGACTTGGACCCAAATGAACACTCAAAGTACTACTTATTCCAGAATTTGAGTCCTTCCCCCATGTCCAGGTAGATGAATCCATCACCTCAGCCCATGTAGTCTGCCCCGGGCTCCCCGATGTGACTGCAGACTCGAGTCCTTCCAGTTCTGGAATCACCAGTGGGTGTCGTCTCTCTAGGACACGCCTACCTCAGGAAGTGGCTGTTGCTCTCGGACCCAGATGATTTCTCTGCGGGGGCCAGGGGCTACCTGAAAGCAAGCCTTTGCGTGCTGGGGCCTGGAGACGAAGCCCCCGTGAGTACATTTCCTCGTCCTCCTCACAGCGCCTCCACTTAGCAGTGGCGACACCGAGTGAACAAACAAAAAAAATCAGCTTTAGTTTTTCTGATTTAGAAGAATACATGGTAACTATGAGAAAGGCAGAGCACGTGGGAAAGTATAAATAAAAAAAGAATCACTCATAATTCTATGAGTCACAGAGAGCTGTTCTTAATTCCTTCTTGCAGAAGGGTATGCGTGTGTGTTTTTCTCTTTTTTTGTGTGTGTGCAAAAGTGAGATCATTCTCTCTATATTGTATTGGAGTCTGAATTTTATTGCCTAAAAATATAACATTATGATCTTTATAGGTCAGTAAGTAAAGTTATAAGTTGGAGGTAGTAAGAAGAAGAAAGGTGTTCCAAGCTGGGGAAATAGCAGATGTTTGGGAAGAGGAGAAAAGGTTGGGAACAGAAATGAGGGGTTAATTAGATACAAGCAGAAGGATTTCTGAGCAGACACAGAGTGCCCACTCCAGGCTGGAGGCTTTCTGGTACAGCCTCACAGTCCTCAGTGGCCTAGAAGCAGAAGAGAGGTGGTGGATGGAGGTGCGTGGCAGGTGGGGACGAGGTGGGAGTGGTGGAGGCACAGGGCTGAGGTAGCTGATGGAGCCTGGCAGGAGGATGCAGGAGGACCAGGCATAGAGCTGATGAGCAGGACAAAGAATAGGGCAGGGCTGGGGGGCACACATTTATTGAGCACCTGCTGTGTGCCAAGCTCTGTGTTGGGTGTTTCACTTGATGTGAGTGGGGGTTGGAGGAGGTGGAGAGGTTGGAAACTGTCTTTAGAGAAGGGTTTCGGTGGTCAAGATTTTCCTAGAGGATTGGCTCTGTGTGGCTGGAGGTTTGAGTTACGGCCATCCCTCTAGCAGCTGAAGGGGAGGGGAGATTCAGATGCTGTTGGTGGGGGCCGTGGAACTATGTTGGTGGATGACTTGTCCACATGGAGGTTAATTATCTTATGGGAGAATTGGAAATCAAATAGGCAAATGGTGAGGCAGGAACTGAAATCATCAAGGCAAGGCGAGCCAGGAGGACTGGGAGAGGCAGGAGGGGGAAGTGGGGCTCTGGGGAGGGTTGGGGAGGTGGAGTCCCCAGGGAAAGCCGTGTGCCATCATGGAGGCGGAGGGCAAGTTCCATGAGGATGTTAAGGATGGGGAGCTGGATGCTGACAGGAGCTCAGGAAGTCACCATGGAAAGGGTTAGGGGAGGGAGAACCCAGGGCGCTGCGCAGGGGCCGATGAAGCGCAGGTGGACCAGCCCCACCCAAGAGCCCCTCCCCTGCTCTCTCATCCTCCATCCATCTGTAGCCTGACTCTCCAGACCTCATGCCTTCTTGCTCCTTCTGCGTGGCATCTCCGAATCTATTATCTAGTATCCTTTTCTAAAACCCTCCCTCTTCTTCTTCCCATTCAGATGTTGTTTTCCCCAGATGAAACCGCTTTTCTTGAGACCAGCTCAGGGGGAAGCCTCTGTTTTCCACGCCAGCGCTCTGTGGTCTTTGGGACGGGAAGTGTGGCCATCTTTTGGCTTCTCACGGCACCTCCCCAACTTCAACACTGCCTTCTTCTTTGAAGCCTGCCTTACTAGTTATTTCCCCCTCTTCCGGTCTTCTGGGCTGTTACCTACCCTTGGCGCAGGCAGAGCTGGTGCAGGAGGGTCCCTGCTGGCAGATTCCCATCTTTGCCATTGTTCTGAGATCTGACGTGTCCTCACCCAGGAGCCATCGATGTCTGCTCTTACTTCCTTCAAGATCCTGAGCTCGGAAGTTCCTCTCTCCACCGGTTTCATTCTGCCTCTTTTCCTCCCTCACCCTCAGTGAGTGACAGTTCTTCCTCCCTGAGGTTACAACCCTGATCCTTCTCCATTTCCCCTTCCATCAGCTCCCTCCATAGCCCGGACCCCACCCACAATCCTCACACTATGTGCTTACTAGCCCCTGGGGTCTGCTGCCACACCTCACGTCCCCCACCCTCCCCATGACTCGCTGTCCGCACCCTTGGTCAGCTTTGGTGGCAGACGTCACTGGGAGCTGCTGTTAACTGCTTCTTTTACTTGCATGAGGTTGACTCCTAATCCCAGTCTCCTCGGAGGCTGCTTCCAAACATGCTGTCTTTCCTAAACCCCAGCCTCACCCTCCTTAGAGAGGCAGGGCTGCAATGGTGCGGACCTCTGAGCTCCTGAAGCTCTCTGGTCCTCAGCCTGTTTCCCATCTTCCTGGTCCTCCCTTCCTCACTCCCCACCCCCTTAGCCCAGGCTCCCCCCCTGGCGTCTTGTTCAGCCTGCCCTTCCCATCTCTTCTATCACCCCCTCCCCTGGCTCCTGCCCTCAGATCTGTACCCGGCTCCAGATTTCTCAGTCTCACAACACCCTGCCTTTACCATTTCTCCCCATCCCTCCCCTCCAGGCTGCTTTCACCTTCCCTCTAGCATCACCAACTTCTTGAAGGAGTTCCTGGTGTTCCTTTTCTCCGGTCCTTTAGCAGCTGCTCCCCCCTTCACCTCTTTAGTACGATTCTCCTGCTTCCTTCCCTGAAACCACTTGCTTCAGGGTCACCCATTGCCAAGTCCCAGAGCTCTTCTCTCATTAATCTGCTCCGCTGCGCCACAGCGTTCGATTCCAGAGCCCGTGTCTTATCTGAAACTCTCTCCTCCCTTAGCATTTGAGACTGTCATTCTTTTCCTTTTTTTTTTGTATATGGCTCCTTCAGATTCAGTGGCTCAGTAAAATTCTGCTGCATGCCCCTTTGCTGTGTCTTCGACCCTCGCTGTGGAGTTAGCCCATCTCTGTTGACCTGAGGCTCCTAAATTGCTCATCTCCAGCCTGATCTTCAGAGCTCCAGACACTCAGTTTCAGTTGCCTTGTAACAAAGCACATCAACACGTCCCTTAGGCCCCTCTGACTCAACACAGGGAATCCCGGTATCCTTGGCTGCCCTCTCCCCACACCTGTTCCCCGTCCTATGTGAGGTGACATCCTGGGAAAAGGGCACTTGTCATCCACTTAGTCCCCCAGGCCAGCAGCCTGAGCGTCATTCTTCATCCCTCAGCCCCACATGCACACAGTTGGCCAGTCTTGTCGGCGTGACAGCCTCAGTGCATGCTTCTCCTCTTTCCCAAGACCAGAGTCCAAGGTCAGGCTCCCATCATATCTTACCTGGGCCTCTGTGTGAATGAAGATGTAGGACCAGCTGCTGTCACTCCACTGATCCCCACGTTACCGCCAAAATCACCTCCTTTAAACCCAGGTTCAATCATGTAAGTCTCCGTCTCTTAAAAAGTTGCCAGTGACCCACCCCACCTCCCAGCTGCTTTCAGGGTGAAATCCGAAATGCTTAGCGTGAGTCAATGCCCACGAAAGTCTGG